CTTCTTACCACTTTTTTTTTTTAGAGAAGGCAGTGGTTATGTTTTTGAAAAATAAAAAGTGTTTTTTTTGAAATTTTACTAAAACATTTTCTAGTCCACTAACTTGGTGTTGTTCAGTTTCAAAAATCGTTTAATTCGAAAATTTTTTATTTTCCGCTTCTTATGTTATTTACCGTTCGTTCATGATCAATATCAGAAATTGTCAGTCATATTTACACTGTCCTCTGAACCAAAGATCAAACAGTATGCTGCTTGTATTGGATCAAGAAACTCGATTTGCTGGTTTTGGGGCTTCGTTGATGAGCAATTATTGTTAATAGGGGGTAACTGCTATTAGGAAGACTTAAAAGCTTTTATAATACTCTTCGGTAAGGAAGTTTGTGAACTTCCAGCTTGTTTTTTTCGTTTTTCAATGCCAACATTTAGTTGTTTATTGTCGAATCACTGTGTCTTACTTGTTTTATTTTAATGAAGTCTATGAGTGCTGGAAATATTGAAAAGATTAATTGCTGCTAATGAAGCGTGAGTTGTCGTTGTTATGTTAAACAGTAAGGAAAATGTTATTTCAGAGGGTTGTTTAATGTGCATTGTTATAGATAGCATATTTAAAATAGTTATGGATAGAGGAATAGAATCTGAACTGTTGGTTGAAAATTTTTTCATCACCGCCCTCAACATTATAATGTATTGAGAACAAAAATATAACATTTGGTGTAATTAGGTGAATGGAATGTGGTTTGAGATATTGTTTGTTTGCCGGCTCAGTTAATATGTTCACAATGGGGCGCAACCTTTATCGAACTCAAAATTGAGGAGCCTATGTATCACATACAGCTTTTCTGTGTAATTTCAACTGTTGGTTTATCTCATCAGAATGTATTGTTTGAACCATAAATATAGGAGGGTACATTGGGTTACGACCGGACGATTATTTGGTGTTGGCTGGCTGATGATATGCATACCAAATTAGATTATTTTTTTTTTTTCAGATTTAACTGATCATGACTCGTCTCAGCTTATTTTTGGCTATGTTCGCTACAGTGGTCATCGCCGGTCCATATTCAAATTCTCAACAAGAAATTGTTACAAAGGTAAAGAATGGCTATAGGATTTATTAGAGGGTAATAAAAAGCGCGAATTTCATTGCTTTTGAAAACATCTAAATTTACTGTTGTTAGATTACATTATATTATATTGCTAGTTTCAGGAAGACACAAAGGTTAAACGTCTATTTTGCCCGAGATATGCGAACGGAGAGATGTGTCAGGGTAAATAATTTAAGTTATTCTTTTATGGTAGCTCAGGGGAAGATCTAATTACTGTCACCATTCTTTTCGAAATTTGAAAGGCTTGGAAACCAGTCAGTCAATAGTAAAAACAGATGCAAATGCTTATTTTTATTGCTAGGGTAGTTTTCTTTCAAAACTCAACTACAGCTAACGATAATTGTAGTTTCTTCAAAATTTGTTCACACTTCAAAAAAGCATTTAGTTGAAAAATAACAAGTAGAAATTTGACTCTTTTGCTGCTTACTGAACTCAGAGGTTTAGTAAAATAAGCAAAATGCTATGAGTATAGTAATGTAGTCGTTTTTTCTCGATTTAAAAAATTCAGATGAAGTGTCTTTTATTTACAGAAAATACGATGATGACATACTACAGTTGCTGTGGCGAGAGAAATGATCGCTGTTGCGGGTATACCAGAACTTGGGTTTGGGTTGTTATTAGCCTCGTATCGCTACTGGTACTGCTTGTGGTAGTTGGCTTCCTGCTCAGGAAGTGCTACTTCAAACGTCGTCGTGATCAACACGAGCACTACGTTTCTGGTGTTCGAAGCAATGTTGAAGTGAAATCCTAATTTTTTTGTCCTATACATTCCATGAAGAAAAAAGCAGAAATTGGTCTAATTTGTTGTAATACCTGTATTAGTTGTTCATCAGTTGTCAAGTTGCAATACCTTCTCTAGTAATTAATATGAAAATGACTGCTTCTCGAAGTATATAGTTAGTTGTGATGAACTGCAGCGGTCTTTGAAAGTTTTCATTGTTGCTCATTTTAACCACTTAGTTTCGTCGTCATTTGATATCGTGAAAAACTGCAGTTGTATGTATAATATTCAAGCGAGTATGCAGCATGTTGTTTTGTTATATATTTGTATGTACCTCAACTGATTTTTTTTTATCCTCAGGTTTGCTTTTTTTGATGCAACTTCATAGTTGTTGATATTTAAGGGCTCTGATGTCACCGTTTTTTGGGTTTTGCCAAGTGTAAACATTGAACATTTTCTTTTTTGTTACATGATTTATTATTAAAATTTTTTACATTTTATTGCTGTTTCCCAGCAATGTTTGTTCGGAAAGCTTTATTTTTTGTTATAATAGAAAAAGGAAAAAATTTTTTTGCATTACATGAGGGAGCTGAATTGATGGGAGAAGCATATCTCTGTTTGTTGCAGTTGTTAAAAGTCATTATTAACTTTTATTGTTTTAATTTAAGCAGTATGCTGTAAACAACTTGCTGTTGTCAAGCTTTTATCGAATTAAGATCTGTGTTTCCCTGGCTGCTTGAATGGACTTAGCTTAGCACAACATTCGTTTTATCTGATGCTCCTGCTTGAAAGCTGCTGTTTTTAAATATCTTCAAAAAGCAAGGAATGCAGTTAAACACGGGATAATTGTAGGTGGCTGAATGTAATTTCTGATAAATAAGGTCGATTTCATTCCACGTTTATGCCTAGAAAATTAACTTTCAAGCGTTAATTATGGTGGGCCGGTAAATAGCGTGAAATTTGGGTTAGGCAACAGCGGGACGTTGGTAGCTGGCTGATATACGAAAATATAACCGTGGAATATCTTAAAGAAAATTTTCTTGTTTTAAAAAGACAAAACTCGTGTTTTCAAAAACAGCTGGCAAAATTTTCTAAAAAACCTTGGAAAACACCGAAAATGCAAGCCACTGTCATTGAAAGACAGACTTATGTTTAAAATGAGGGGGTGGAGGGAAGCGGAAAATTTTTTTGATTAGATATCGGTGACGAGGGTTTAAAAATTAGGAACGTTAAGCCGAATACAGCTAAAGATGGATGAATAAAATCAAATTGATACGAAAGAAGATTAACTCAGTTGTCCACTCCCTGCAAAACAAAAAAAATGACATAGAGCATGGAAGATAGACGTAAATTAACTATGAAATTTAATGCGGAAATGATCAGAGGTTTTCAGTTAAAAAATAATTCAAAAAATGGCATACAATGCACTGTAACTGAGCGAAAAAATTTGTGAGGTGTTTGAAGAAAGAACCGTGGTTTCTGTTCCTTTGTAAAGTTTCATCTCAATGAGTATCTTCTTTGATATAGCTTGTCGCCGAATTTCGGTTGTTCGTAAAGGACAACTTGACCAAGAATTTAACCAAGAATTTTCACTTTTCTCACTCGACACATTAAAACAGTAATAAAACGTAAGAACTATGCTTTGTACAGTAATGCAGTCTACTGGTGCACCTATTAATTTGGGTAATTCTGCTGAGACAAGTAGAAAACTTCCATAATGAGCCTAGATTAGCTGTTAATAAAAAAAATGAAATACAGTATCAGATAATCGGGACTTTTTTGCTAGACAGAAGCAGTTGTTCTGGACGTCGGCAGCTTTGAACCGACAGATTATGATAAATTTTTCGGCTTTCGTTGAAACTTACTGAATATTCATCAATTATGATTTGCTTGGAACCAGATAATTTTATTAAAAACTGCAGTTGCTAAAATCGTAACACTTTCAAGTTTTGCAACTCTTGAAAGTGAAATAATCTTTTATTTCGTGTAATTGAACGTTTTACAACCTTTTACAGAATAAATAAAATTTGATTTCTTTGTTCATAAACTATTCAGTTTTTATGTGACGCAATTAAGATAAATTAAACTCTACTGCAGCAATTTTTTTAACCGTTTATAACATTTATTACTGGAAATAATAATCACTTCACACTCTAAACTTGCTATTTACTTTTGGTGTGCTTTCATGTGGTTGTACTACGTCACTACTGCCTCTATTCTGCAAAATTTTAGGAACAAAAAAAAAAAAAAAAAGAAAAGAAATGTATCAATGTATGGAGGCGATACGGTCTAATGATTAAAGTAGTAAAATTGTTATCGTCTTGAAAATGAAGTTTTTATCATACCAAATTGGAACCAGCATTCTTTTTTTACCAATTAGGAATTGACTGTGACGTTAATTGTATGGAGAGAAAATGAAGCAAGTAATGTGAAATTGAAAAGCCTTGAAGTTCTCAGTAATTTTTAGCAGACAACTTGAACGCAGAAAATCATGAAACCGGTTGCTGCTATATGATCATAATTACGACTCTTTTTAAACAGGAAAACCTTCTCGGGGCATTTACTTTCTGAAAACAGCAGAGTAATTTCACTGCAATTTTCTGTATGAGTTCAGAATACTTTCGTATTTATATTTTTTGTTGATGAACTGATCAGAGCTGTTGCTGCTTTACCAAACTGTTGTTCATAGTTTCCAATACTGCAGTCAACCTTACCGATATTAGCCGGTATTGTCTTCATCAATACCCTTCATTTCTACACTCATTCTCCTTCAATAAGTTTCAATTACTTCTTTTTCTTTTTAATTTCGTTGTTTATTAACTACAAAAAGAAAAAAAAACTTTTTTTTTTACAACAATCAGATTTTGTTAGACTGCTAAAATGGCGATAAAATTCTCGAAATTTCCTTTCTGTGATAAGAAACTGCAAATTCTGAATAGTATTATTTTCAAATTGGTGAAAGTAAAGCTATTGCAATTTTTTGGGCTGTTTTTTTTTCTTCTCTTAAATTTTGTAATTATTTTTTGTAAGAGGAAAAAAAAAAAGAAGTTTTTTGTAAAAAAAAAAAAGTAAATTTTTCTCAACAATTTTATGACAAAAGGATTGTTTTTGACAAAATTTATTGGAGTTGTAGTGGCAGCGTACTAAAACTTACGCTTTTATTTTTCCAAAATCTATTCTTCAAAACATCAGAGTAGTTTGAAGGTTTAAGGTACTAAGTTGGATGATGTTAAATTTGCGTTGAATAGATTTATGTTCACTAAGTTATAAGTCTGTAAAAAAAGTTGTTGAACATTTTTGAAGGAAAAACTACTGAAAGCAGTTTAGTGATAAGTTATTTTCAAATCAATATTTTTTGACAATCCAAAAAAAAAGAAGAAAACTTCAACTAAATTACCTTTGT